GCATCCCCCCCGGTCTGTCCGGCAACCGCCCCCCTTCTGCAGCCCCGGGACACGCTGGGGGCTGCCACACAGCTGCTCTCTTGCAGACACCACCTCCCGTTCCATTTAAAGATTTGTCTGTGTGGAAAGAAAAAGCTGGCCATTTGCCCCCGATTTCCCGCCAGGCTGCCGGCCCCAGCCGGGCCCTGGGCACAACGCCCGCCCGCCCACTCCCGCTGTGCCGAGGGAGCTGCTCCTGCCCCCGCACCCGCTCCGGGCTCCTGGGCGGGAAGGGCCACCGCTCCCGCGCCTTAGGAAGCACACCCGGTTATTTTATGTGTATTAAATACACCCCAGAAATGGAGGAGTCGTTGTGCAGCCAATATAGGCCGCTCTAGAGCCGTCCATCAATGCTTCCAAGACATTTTGGATTTGCGAAGTTACTGCGATTAAGCAGTAGTAACCTTAGTGATGCTAAGTTTAGTAACTCATGCAGTAAGTCCATTTTTTCTGGTCGACATTTTACTTCTTATCAACCAGTAGTAACTGAAATCCATAATCTCTATGTTACTCCTAGCACATCAGTTTTCTAGATACATACTTTTAAAACACCGTGTTCCTAAAGTGAAGTTACATTAAATAAAGTTGCAACTGTGTTGCTAGGTAAGCAGTTTTGTTGGACTGGACTGGCTGACCCGAGTAGGAAGCCCATTCCCCACTCAACAGACATTACTTTTATTTCATATCTATGCATTATCTATCATTCTCCACAGGAAAAGAAAAGCAGTGTTTAACATAATTGTTGGAGTCTTTCTATCAATTTAAAATAGAGACTGCTAATTTAATATCTCTTTATCTCTCCTAGACTGTATTACAATTTGTGAGATGTTGTGATACATGTATTAGTTTTGGTGTGCATATTAATTTAGCACTGAATAGGCATATGCTATAATGTAATGGATCTATAATTATGCAGTATGTTAATTTACTGTGTGCTACCAGGCAGTGGAAAAACAGCTGAAGGTCTGTGGATTTAAGAGGAATATGGATGTCTTAGTGTTATATCTGGCTGGACAGTAAGTAAAATACATTTCTCTTTGGCTTTTACTAGAAGTAGAACACACAGTAAATGGTAACCTTTCACAGTGCTTTCTGTATCAGATACTCTCTGACCATTATTTTTATGTGAAATACTAGGAAATCATATTTATACCTAGCCCATACATGTTGTCTAGGACAAAATAGTGAAGATACACTGAATTACACAGCAGAGCTGTACTCACAGTGAAGTAGTTAACTGCCTCAACTCTAGATACACAATCCTCCATCAACCCAGAATTGCTTGAGGGTCTTTAAGTTCACAGAGCTGCGCATGAACTTCTACCACAGGGAGCAGAGGAGTGAGGTTTCATGGGCTGATCTCTGCCTGTTCTAACTGGCTCGTAAGGCTCGGTGGGAAGACTATCAAGAAGGTACATGGAAAAACAGAGGACCTGCCCAGTCTAAAAACTGCCAAATTTCTCACCTCCCTGAAGATGTCTGTTATTGCAACAGTGAAGCTCACTGGTAGCACCTTTGAAATTACCTGCATCTCTACTATTAGGAGTTAAAGGGAGGGCAGGGCAACATGAAGTCAGTACAAGAATACTTGTTTGGGGCTGACAGTACTGATCAGAGAACTGATCTCCTCTGAGAGCTTTATGAAAGAGCTTAAGATGTAGGGCAGATGAGGAGAAGAAACTGTGCTAAGTGAAGGATGGCAGAGCTTTCATGAACCTGTGGGTGATCTAGGTTGATAGAGGTCTGTGTTGTAGAATGAACATGCTGAGAGGCCCCCATAGAAAGATGGATACATGACAGGGCATACTTCAAAGTTTTTGAAAAGCATACTTTGAATTTCTGGCCAGGGCATAATTCCAAGTGTTGCATTCCTGTCTGCAGCCTCACAACTTCATCTACTGTTTATACAGTTGATATCATATATAAATGTAGTTTAATAATTCAGGGGCAAGTGTTGTCTAGCCCATTTTTAGTGGAAATCAGGTGGTCTTGAAAATCTTAATGTGCCCACTGGTATCTTTAAATTCCTTAGCAAATCTCCTGATTTACATTCAGAAAGTTTGTTGCTTTGTGAAAAGAAGGCTGTAAAAGATGTGAGACATCTAGTTACTGTCAAATTTATTAAAATGTGTATTTTAGGAAGAAGAAAATGTCTGTAAAATATAAGGGAGAAGTTTGAATAATGAGAAAATTACAAGATCCACATAAATATTTTCTAAACAATACAACAAAATTATTATAATGTGTCAAAGTACTAAGACTATGTATACTGTGTTAATAGGCACATTTTCTGATTTAAAATATTTAAATGTGTGCACTCAGTGGTGTGGGGTTTTTTTGGTTTATTTTGGTTTGGTTTTTTGTTTGTTTGTTTCTGGGGTTTTTTGTATGGAATAAAAATAAATTATTAGATGGCAGATCTAGAAGAGATCTGTCTTCCTTTGCAACCATTTTGAAAAAGGTGATGCAACCTGGCTTATTTGATGATTGGAGAGAAGTTAATTCCTTTTATTCTATACCAGCTTATATAAACCTTGAACCTCAGCCAATGTCAGTACCAGATTGTGCCTCCTTACCAGTTGCTTTGGCAGTTTTCTGCTGGCTGAACTAGAAAATGAAAAAAATCATAATTAAAGTCAATAGGAACGAATTAGGTGATATTTTTAAACCACTACTATTAAGGGGACATGAAAAGCTGTATTTTTGGACATGGGAAACTGTCATCCTAGAAAACCGCTTAACTTAGCAGTAGGTACAAAAAGAGTGCTGCAGGGCAAGAAGGATCAGTTTGCAAGAGACATACGAAGTCTGGAAGGCACGCAAAAAGGGATGGGCTCTTTTTAAATGTTAGAGGAATTAAGCTCTATCGGGGCCAAATTAAATGCCTTACTACTAGGGAAAAAACAACAACAATAATAAACCACCACCAAAAAAACAACAACAAAAATCAAACAAAACCAACCCCCCAAAAAAACAGATAGTCAAGATGAGTCTGTTACTAGAGAGGGAGTAAAGCAAATCAAAATGTAAAGCTCTAAACTAGGTGTGGAATGGCAGAACAAAGAACATGAGGAAATTTTGCCTTTGCTACCCGAAAAATTGTTCAGGGCTGTACAGGTTGAACTATACAGAAGAATTGCATAGTAGCTTTGTAAGAGCTTCTGTATGTCCTGTCAACATGTATTTGCAGGATTCTTTTTTATGGTTATTTGAGGAAGCCAAATAGACAATTTAACGAAGTAGAGGCATGGGGCAATCTGATTTTCAGAAACAAAGATGAATCAAAGTACAGCACCTCAACTTTGTAGTGTTTGCTCTTGGCCGATGTTTTTTTCAAATGCAAGATGAGAAAAGGTGGCCACGCCCCTTTTGTCTGTACCTGAAGGGTTTGTTAAACAAAACAAAAGAACCATGGGAAACTAGAGACTAAGCTTCACAGCTGGGAAACAGGTAGATCGTTTTAGGCTGATGATGTGACCTTAGTTTTTATCATTCTTGTTAGTTCTTTCTGGAACAGTGGCCCTTACCTTGCAATGTCTTCCACAAGGAAGGTTTTATTAAATCAATTAAAATTTGTCATGTAAAGGTCATCTATAATTATTCTAGAGGAAATCAAGAATGTTTATTTAAAGCAGTGAAAAATAAGAAGGTGCAATTAGTGAAAATTACTCAACAGCTCACTAATATTCTCTGGTTAGCAGGTATTTTGTTATTTATAGTACACTAGCAAGCTCAAAGTGCTAGATACCTCTGCCAGCACATAGAAGACAGTTCCAGCCTCAGTGGATGTGCAGTTTTATTTTAAACAAGACTGTTAATGAATATAAGTAAATACTAAGTTTATATGATAACAGGTGACAAGAGGAGTCAAAAAAGGGCCAAAGATTTGACAGTATGCACTAACACAAAAAATAATAAGACATGAACATGGTTGTGCTTGGTGTCTGACTTCTGTCAGCTTCTCTGGCATTGTGGCTGAACAATCCACAATGCACCTTCAGGCAGTTTTGCGTTTAGGTTTGTATCCTCAGCATGCCAAACTTCTCCACCTCTGTTCTGAGCAGTTTTGACAAACTGCAAAGTACATGGGACTCATATGCCCTTCCAAAAAAAAAAAGTCTTCTATAGAAAAATAAAAATAAATTATGTATCACTTAGTTTGTTCCTGTTTCTTTACCACCTGCTTCTTTGTTAAGCTTTCAGGTGTGTAGGATGCTTAAGCTGTCTCTCCCATCTTGTTCGTTGCTTCTTTCTCTGCTGTGATTTCTACACAAGTATGGCGTTTTAGTGCTTGTATAGTATTATAAAATTTTTAAAGTGATTAAGTACTATTAATGTTGATAAATTTGTTACTTTTTTTTTTCCTTCCACTAGAGGACTAAGAAGTATCCCAGGTCTGTCACGGTTTCGTAGGTTAAGGTATTTGTGGATTAACAACAACAAGGTAATAAGGTATTAATTTAAAGAGCAGATTAATATGTCTACACTCCCTGATTATTATTTAGTAATTTTTCTTAAAAAAAGTTAGAAAAGGAGGTGAGACTCCTTTTTGCCCTCATGGACAAAAAGTGATGTATAACTCTTAAATTGCTTCTCCCTTCACACAGAGAGTAGCACTTCAGAGCTAGGGGTTAATCTTCTGTCATTATGTGGGTTGTTGTGTCACCTAAACATGTTTAATTTAAGAGAGATTTCCAGGCGAGTTCTTGGAGTATGACATTGAGCCACATCAATTTCCCTTGTTTCCAATGCACTGTGTGATCCTAAATCAGTTATACAAACCATGTACCTTAGTTTCTCCATCTGTGCAAATGTAGATTATAGTATTTATTATATCCTGAAGGGGTTTTAAGACAATGCTCAATCAAAATCTCCATATGCTACAGTTTCTAGCACATTGTATTGAACACAAAGTCATCTACTTGACAATAGAATTATCTGATTCAGAAATCTCAAAATACATAGCCAACCATTATTAAATGGTTGAATTTAATCAAAACCTTCACCGTTACCACTGGTAATTAAAACGCAAGAAAAGTGATATAAACATTAGTTTCTAATCTGCTTTTAAATATCTTACTGTGCAGTAGTTTACATTACTTGTGAAGTGGGCCCAAGGTCTTAAAACACCAGAATTGCTTACTTAGGTAAATAAGTAGCTTTGTGAGAGGCAGAAAAACTAAATTTATATTCCATGTCACTTTGGAATATATGTATATCTACTGCCTCAGGCTAACATCAATTATATAGCATCTTGTGTTGACGTCATTGGAAGGCCTGTGGTTATCCAGCTATTTTCAGAAAAAGCAAATATATGTATACATGAAAAGGTTGAACTAAAATCACAAGTATAATAAGACTTTCCTTTGTATTTTTAAATGATACTAATGAATGAGAAAATAGCCTGATGACTAAGCAGAACTGATCTTGCTGACTGTAGAAGAGAAATAAGTCTGATTTTTGCACAGATGTCACTTTTCTACCTAAGTAGTAACAAACAGCATTTTTATGTTGTTCTATATAACTCACATAGAAATGTCATTTTTTCTATAACTTGTGTGAAGAGCTAGTCAGAGGCTTTTCTTAGAAGTCTCAACTAAATGCTGTAATGGAGGTGGCATATTTTCAGAAGATATGAGATCTCCCTTTCTTTCTTTAAAAATGCATCACAATAATCTTACCACAAAAAAAGTAAATTTTAGATGATCCTTAAAAACCAAACTTGTCACAGATAGAGAAACGATGCTATATACAATAGGTATGTGTGGCCTTCACACTATACAAGATACAATAATCAGTGTGAAGAACAGTATTTTTTATTTGTAGAACATTGCTGTTTTCACTGAACCACATTTTTCTGAGGTGAAGCAATCTCAGAAAATTGTATTATTTTGAACTTTAAATTAACTTTTCTCAGAGGATTTCAGAAAATTTTAGGAATGGAAAAACCTCTGTCTTATTCTTCTTCCAGCTTTCAGATACTGTTAATACACAGAGCAAAGCACATTTGTTTTAAAATCAGTGGCACAATTCAAGGGCTGAAATCATTCCCCCACTAACGAATGACTTTGCATCACAAAAATCAAAATAGAGTCAGGAATAAAGTTCTGTTTGCTTTCTCTAGTAGTTAGGCTGTAGGATATCATTAGCAGATACACCATTAGTGATCCCAGTTCTCAACTATTGTGATGGTCAGCTGGGTATCCCATTGCATACACTTTACCTTGCATTGAAGTCAAGACAGTATTTGAACTGAGCTGCTCCAAGCAAGGGAGTTAGATGTCACAGGGACTGAAGACAAATCTTTACTGGGAATATAGCCATACATACTTTTTTCTGTATTTGTAATTAATTCTGTACATCTTAATAAATGTAGTTTTTTGAAATTTAAAACAATTATGTGCTCTTTGGATCTCCTGATGAAGAAATAACTTTAAAACTAGATGCTGGGATTATTCCAAGGATGTATTTCAGGAGTATTCTTAAATCAGTGTAGAATTACTACATCCTACAAGGGTGTTCTCACAATAAAATATATTAAGGATGTGAATAGAAATAAAAGAAAATGTGAAGACCAGTAATTCAATGAAATCTATTTCCAAATGCAAACATTGAGTTTGTAGTTTAAAAAATTAGATAAGCCTGTGCTACATGTATCTGATGTGTAATTGGTATTTCTAAAGAAGATTCAGCTGTCAAGAGAATCCTTAAATCAAGTCATAGCAGAAATATAAGAAATACCTGTAAGTACTGTACTTCTCCAAAGTTAAATTTAGACTGACATACAAGTTTTCCTAACTCTAATTTCAGATCCAAGATTTAACCTTCTTGAAAAAAAACTATTGCTTGACTGAGCTCTATCTCAACAATAATGAACTGACAGATATAACAGGTACCAATATTCCCTTTTTAGATTTTTTGAGCAGAGGTCCATAGTTTCTTTTCTGTATATTAGCATTCAAATTTATAAAAGCGGATGACAGTGAGTAACTTGATGGTTGAAAGCGCCTATGCATGCATAACAAGACATGGTAATTACTTTCTTAGAACGTTAATTGTTCTAGTGGACTTCAGTGGAAAGAAAGTGATATGATTATCCTGGTCTAAGGGATGAAATGTCATTACCTTTAATGTCAGGCAATTGTAAAATATTTTTGCTCTTATGTGACCATATTTAGTCTTGAAAATGAATGTGCAAAGCTCATTTTACATGATGATTTGTAGTCCCCTTGCTGACCAGGTACTCTGTAAGCTGATAGAAGTACCTTCTGAGAGCCATTTATGTTTATATGATGAAAAACTGATAGCAGTATCAGCAGACTTCACATGAAGATAAAAGGGTAATCAATAAGTCATGCCACTTGTAAGGTAATCACTAAGGTTCTGAAGTTTCTTCATTATATAGTTACATTTATAATCAGAAGTATTTTGCAAAGTTACTGCAAAACTCTTCTATTGTAAAATGGTACCTGTCTTAATTTTATATTTCAGTCTTGCTTGCTCATGTAGATTAAAATAGCTGTACCAGAATAGTGATGAATGGAGAGACCAAAGCATAGTAAATTTGTGTATATTCTAGACATCTTAAATGTTCATATTTTCATTTAATCTATCCCTATAAAATCTTGAGATGAGAAATGCTGAGGTGATGCTGTGAGATTTTGGGCAAAATAAATGTTTGAAAGAAGAAATATATTGGCACAAGAAACAATACAGAAGATAACAGAATATGGGTAAACAGCAAGGCAAATATCATTGACAGAGAAGTGTGGATGAGAAGCAGTCTAGAATTTGGAAAATGAGATACCTGCCCCTCATGTGGTGTGAGGATGTGAACACATAAGTCTGGGTCAGCCACAACAATATTTTTTAACAACTTTTTAATACATTAATAATTATTTTAAATGGAAATGTTTTTGCAGGAATTCACTCTTAAGTGCTTCTGAGGCAAAGGTAGTATTAGAGCTATGTTGTTGTTTGTGAGGCAAAGGTAACATTAGGTAAGGGTGAAAGGAAGTGAAGAAGAATTAGTCAAGCATTACTGGGATACTGGAGAGTGGAAGGTAGGAAGAAGAGGATGCAGTTGATGTTGATTTGTTGAGGCAAGGGTAATGGGGAAATGGAAGGAGCTGGAATGAAAAAAGTTAGGCGTATGTTCAAAGGATGTGACGAGAAAGATGAAAGGAACACTGAAATATCTGATAATTTTTTCTTTCTTTTTACTCATCATCTCATGTAAGTTGTTACCAAAAGGCAGGCCTAGATGGATAGATAGAATATTGAATTCAGTGTGCAGTGCAACAAATGAATTCTCTAATAAAGTCAGTAAGATATGCTGAGAATAATTAATTGTTTTTTGTTTTATTTCAGGTGCTCTGAAACACTTATGTTCATTACAGATTCTGTTGCTTCACAACAACCAACTGGGAAAACTTGGCAGAACAGTGAAGGAATTGAAAGGAATGACAAGCTTGCAGACCCTAAGTAATACTTTTTTATTATTATTTTGCAAAATAGCGTGCAGTGGTTTTTTAATGTTCCTTATCAGGATGTTTCTTGTCTGTATCCACATCATTTGCCAATAGCTTTTGAAGCTAACTATCAATTTCAAGCAAATATGACAGAAGAAAGAGATCTCTAAGACATGAAAATTTCACAGAGAGAACCTCAACTGAAAAACATCTGCCAAATGACTTCAGAAGTTAACTCATTTTGGCTGCTGGCTAACCAGTCTCCTGAATTAATAGCTTGGAGGCAGTCAAATCTGTTTAAAGCTACCTTTTTGTAAGGAATCATGGGAGTATGGTGAGATTTTCACAGAGGTGGAGGGAGCTGAGAAAGGATGTTACTGCAGTTGAGAATGTGAAGGATAGGCTATAGAACTCAAATTGCTGCGTTATTGTTTCTATTATTCACAGAACTTACATTCTGCATATTTTTGGCAGACTATGCATTTCTCCAGTCTTAGCATAAGTATACTTCAGATATTAAGTATAACAATATGTGTTAATTACCAAACTTAGAATCATAGAATCACAGAATCGTTTAGGTTGAAAAAGACTTTTAAGATCACCAAGTCCAACCATTAACCTAACACTGCCAAGTCCAGCACTAAACCATGTCCCGAAGCACCACATCTACACGTCTTTGTCATGGTTGGACTCAGGGTTGCCAATTAAACCAATGACAGCAACGCTCTCAATCCCCTCTCCCTCCCACCCAAGTAGGGAAAGGAGAGAGAGAACTAGGAGACAGACTTTCCAGATTGAAAACTAAGCTAGAGAGCTTTAATTAAACACTAATGATAAAAGAAAATATGTACAAATATATACAAGTATGTGCAGGAATGTACAAAACCCTATTGCCTCCCACAGCAACTCCCACGGCACTCTGCTGAGTTGTCAGCAGTTCCAAAATGTCCCAAAAATAGTGGCAGAGCAGACAGGAGTTGAGGGTAGAGTTACGAGGGTCAGGATTGCATGGACCTAGGGCTAAACAGTGATGGATAGATTAAGTCCTCCCTGGACAGTAGACATGACTAGAAGAGAATGGAAAGGAAGAAGGGCTTGACTTCTGTGATGCTTGAATTTATACTAAGACCTAGGTGGAATACTTTGGTTTGCCAATTTTGTAGTCTGTCTAGTCTGCTTCTCGCTACAGGAAGGTTGTAGATACGACTCTTCTGCTCCTTTAGTGTAGCAAATCCGACAAGTAGAACAAAGTGTCCTTGGTCTCTCGGCAGTACCTATAAGCTGAGTGTTACCACTCCACTAGCTGGTAAACTTGCTCTTAGTTTCAGCAAGTGTGGTGCTTAAAAGAGGGTTCACTGAAGAAAAAAAATCCAGAAACAATAAAAGGAAAACTGGCTTTGTCCTGGCTCAAACCAGGACAGTCTTTTAAAGGCATGGCAACTCAGCCACTTCCTTGGGCAGCCTGTTTCAGTGCTGGAAAACCCTTTTGGTGAAGAGTCTTTTCCCAACATCCAATCAACCTCCGCTGGGTCAATTTGAGGCCATTTCCTCTTTTTCAATCACTTGTTACTTCGGAGAAGAGACCAACACCCACCTCGCTACAACCTAATTTCAGGTAGTTGTAGAGAGGGATAAGGCCTCCCCTCAGCCTCCTTTCCTTCAGACTAAAATAGAACAGTTCCTTCAGCCACTCCTCATAAAGTCTATTACCATTTTTTTAGTATGCTGGCTGGAAGTGAAAGTAGTATAGGTCTGAAATTTTACATTAAGTTATACAAGACAATGTTGACACCACTAAGTTACAATGTAAAAATTGGCTTCCATGGAAATTAGGATTATATGCTACTAAATTATATAAAGTGAAAGTGTGAGCAGTCTTTTTCTGTGGTTCCTAAAGAATGTTGTCATAGGTCACACCAAATCCTCAGCGATTAGAGAAAACATGAAACAGGTTTCACACCTTAATGACACAGGCGTCAAGCCTTATGCATTCAAATTCTGTATATCATATTATATTACTGTATCATATATTTGCAAGTTACAATATTCAGAAATGTGAAATGGGTGCAGAATACGCACTGTGTAGCTTTGAAAAGGCCTGTGCTCATAATTCATGTTTATAAAATAGAAGCAGTATTGGGATGGAAGAATTCTCACTTTTGTGAAGTAGATTTTTTTTTTTTTTATTCCAGACAATCCAATTAAAAATACTTGCTAACCTTCAACAGAACCTTCAATGCATAATAACATTTTATTATTTTGTAGCTCTTGGGAACATTAGAGCTATTAAGCAGTCTAATGCACTGTTATTGTTCATTTCAGAAGTAGCATCCAGCTGCCAAAATGAGGCATTTCTCTTCCTTAAGGCTCTCCTGTGATTTCTAGCCACTGCCCTGCACTGAATTTGTAGTGTAACACCATTCTTCATCAGGCATTTAGGGAAGGCTCTCAGTATCTAAAGATTTACAGAGTGGGTTGCACACAATTGCAGCCTTTTGGGAGATGTGAAGGGTTTCTTTACAGACTCACCTTGTGTTCACATATCCCTTTTGGAATCCAAGATTTTTGTTGTGTACTCTCTAAATTGCCTCAACTGATTTATTAGCCACAGCTGATAACATCTTGCTGCTATACCTCAGAAAACTCCTTTTGTTCTTCAATATGTTTCTACCACAGTAGTTCCTTTCTGCCCCATGTGGGTTAGGCACACTGTTTTCCTGCACTCCAAATAGAGAAAACAGACAAAACTGTGGAGGAGGAAAGCATTATCCCCAGTTTGTAGAAGTAAAATTGCATGACCTTGACAAGAAAGTAGATAGCAGTGCCAAGAATTGATCCCAGATGTTTTGTAAAATAATACCTTCTTGATCCATACAATGGTTGAATTTATTGTAAGAACAAGCAGCAGAAAAATTCACGTGCTCTAAAACAAACCTACAAATCAGTGTTGATGAAGAGTGATGTGCTCCAAGTAGCATCCAGATTCAGAAGCACTTAGTATCAACCTTGCTCTGTGCCTTGGAAAAATCTCTCTTGAATCTTCATTCCAATTCACTACCAAACACACCTGCTTTTAGAGATCTTGCTGAAACATTTTTCACTGTGGAATGCTATCACATATCCTCTTGACTGAAAAACAGACTTAGCAGGACTTAGCAGATATATACTTGATATTTCTGATAAAGTCTTTCTAGAAAAAATAGCTATATAATATTTTGTTTGGTAAAAATGGAACTTTCTTTTGCTGCCACCTTGTGGGTGCCTTACTATTTCTAAGTACAATGGTTTTAAAAAATTTGTTAAAAGAACTAAAATATGTTAAGTTCTCTGAATCCATGGATACTTGTTTTCTCTGTAGGAGATACTAAATGCCCATTCCAGCCTTACTCCACCATAAAAATAGCTGCTAAATCACATCAAGCACTGAGCCCTCTTTGATGGTGTCACTTATCCTGAAGAAGATTAAATGGCATCTTGTATTTTACAGATCTGTGTGGAATATTTCCAGACTTCTTCCTTCTTCTAGTAGTTCTTACTTGCTTCTTTAATACCATTTTGCCCTCCCTAACCGCTAAAGTTATATACATTATTTTTTTACTCTAGAGTGAATATTAACTACAGCCTCTCCTCAAAAAGAGAAACAGACCAGTGTAGACCTTCATAGAAGTTGTCATCATTATTAATATAAGATTTTTTTTTCTGCTATGATCTCAAGATAGCAGCCTCCTGATTATTTTTACCATCTCAGAAGAATGGCATTTGTATAAGGATTAAAAAAACATGATTATGTTTTTCATTTAGAAAAAACCAAACAAAACCAAACAAAAAACCAAACAAACCCCAAACAAACAAAAAACCCCCACAAAACCAGAACAACCCACACCAGATAACACTTTTGGTTTGTTAGCTGAGCCAGTTTCTATTTTAATCAGAAAGCACTTTCATGAAAGAAACTGATCTGGCATGTCAGCTCGGCAAATGTGCCACATCTGGCAAAGCAGCACAGCATTGATACCTGTCTCTGTGTTGCAAAGCTTGGGTTGTTCGGGTAAAGTGAACCTGAACTAAGTGTTTTAGTCAAGTTGCCAATGAGTTTTTGCAGCTTAGTACCTCAACTTTTAATGAAAGTTAGTGGGACCCAGATTCTCAGGGCTTTTTAAACATTTTACTCTTTCCGTTTCTTGAGTTTTCAAACTTGACATCTGTCAAAACATCAGAAGACTGGGTATTGACATTTTATATTGTGTCTATGGGATAAAAGCTTTATATCAGCTATGATAAAGCCTTAGGTGTCCTAAGCTCATATGGTTTTAATTACTCTCTCCCCCTACAAATTTTATGTCTTACCTTTAAGCTGTCACACTTAAAAGAATACTAGTATTTAAAATAGGCATCACCTAACAATACACAAGAAAATAAAATGCAACCATTTAGTGTTTTTGTCTGCATATAATAAAAAAACAACTTCAAAGGTTTGGAGTGCATGATGGCACCTTTACTCAATTCTTGCCTGTGGTATTTTGCATACTATGCAGGAAGCCAATTCTTGCAGTATGTGTTTAGTTGAGTAATTTTGCATGTGTACAGAGACTTTCTTTACTCAGCATAAGAACAATTTGAATTTGATAATATTTTGTACAAAATCTTTGGCTGTTAGTGATCTTTAATTTTCCTGCTTTGCTAAGTTTTTCTTTTACTGGGTTTGGTTTTTTTGTGATGTTTGTTTTTTCTGTACATATTTTGCAGACCTCTTCCATAACCCTCTGGCACAAGACCGGAGCTACCGGCTTTATGTGATATACTTCCTTCCTTCAGTACAGCTCCTTGACAGAAAGCGTAAGGATTGCTTTCCTCTTTTCACAAAACATTGGAAATTACTTTTGATTTTAATCAGGTTGGAAAAATAAGTGACTTTATCTTGCCTGTTCTTCTGCATGCATTTGTTGATATAGCAAAAGACCAAATGAACAGATACCCTTTTCTTTTTTTGTAAGATTCATCAAGCAAATAGAGTTTGTATGACATAAACAGTTTATTTTGCCAGTTGTTTTTTATTTCTGTCTTTTTCTTTTTAAATTGTGTAGGTTTATCTTGTGTCTTGGTCTATATATTTTTGGGTAGGGCAGATAAAAGCCTGTGCTTAGAAACATGTACCTACATTTGAGCATTCAAATTGGTATGTTCACATGAGTGAGCATGTTGACTTAGATATAGATAATGTCCTCAGCTATCTACATGTTTCTGTACAGTTTAATTAGGTATATCCACAGTTCTTGATGAGGTGCATGCTGACCAAGCTTTTAAATGCAAATCTTCATACATAATCAAGAGATCTTTTGCAGCTTGTCTACTGTAAATTCCACCAAAAATTTTTTAAATAAATATTGTCTTAAGAATAGCCAGATGATGAATCAGTCAATCCATAAATTTGCCACAGTGGACTCAGAAAATCATCTTTGGTTATTTTTATCTCTGGGGTATGTGATTGGCAGGAGGACTGAAAATTGCTGCAGAGCACTGAGAAAGGTATTAATTCCTACCCCAGCTCTACCTTCCTAAGAAAGTAATAAAAAGACAGTCTCTTTTCCATGGTTTACTGTGATGAGATGAGGGGAAACAGCACAAAGTTACAACATAGGAAGTTCCACATCAACATGAGGAAAAGCTTCTTTACTGTGATGGTGACAGAGTCCTGGAACAGGCTGCCCAGAGAGGTTGTGGAGTCTCCTTCTCTGGAGACTTTCAAGACCCGTCTGGATGCGTTTCTGTGTGATCTGTCCTAGGTGTTCCTTCTGCAGCAGGGAGGTTGGACTTGATGATCTTCAGAGGTCCCTTCCACCCCCTATGATTCTATGAGTCTGTGATTCTATGAACACTGTAATCTTGAAAACCTGCTCCCAGTCTCTAGGATAAACAAGATGCAGGACTTGCATGACATCTGCAGATGCTGGCACACTGGGTAGCTCTGCCATGGAAAGCTCGTGGATGGGCCATAGCTTGTGTCAGGGGTTTATGAGAAGCTGCTGGATCTGACCACATGGCCATTTGCTTACTCATTCATCTTGCACTGGTACCTCCAGTCTCTTGAATATTTGGTCTTGTGTTACATCTGTGCTTAGCACGTCTGTCAGGTTGCTTTACTAATGATCATTTTTGACTAGGGAGCGATGACTGAAGCTTAATGTTCTGGAAAATATGTGTTGCATTCACAGCTCTAGAAACACTCTGTAAAACTTCCTGGATTTAATCTCTTAAATACAGTTATACTGTAATCAGACCTGGATTAAGACTTGAGGCTTTAATTTGTATCAAGCTGAACCCTGGAATTTCTATTTAGTGAACTCTTTCTCTACAATTACAAAGCTTCTTCACCATCTGTGGAACATTACCACAGCATAGTCCTGGCTGTTTCCCTTACACCAGACATGTGCTCACACTTCTGTTTCCTCCAGGCATGACTACTGCAGTTCCTTCCTAATTGGTCCCCTAGACACCATGACTTAGAAATGTCCCTGAATTCAAAGTGTTCTGCCAGAATTAGTTACTTGTCCTAAACCTGTACAGTTTTGTCTGCAATTGATCAATGGGAATTGAACTGACCTTGAACCAGGACTTATTTTTGCTATTCATAATGTTCCAAATCTTTACTGACTTCTGCAGTAGGTCTCATTTAAGCAGTGTGAAGAATCTTGGTTTCTAGTTTCTTGGTTTACTACTTAACTCAGAAGAAAAAAAAATATTCTATTGGACAGGGCTTCTACCTAAAGCCTGGGGAAGTATCATTCCATCTTCCCATTTTGAATTGTGAAACTACACAGATTTACATTGCTGTTGTTACAAAACTCTGCAAAAAAAAAAAAAAAGTGAATCACCCTCTACATGCAGGTAGATAGTATCAGCCTTTTCATGTGACAGAAAATAATTAAAATGTTTATATCCCTTTTAACAGCAGTTACACAAAGAGAAAGGGAGTCAGCTCTTCATTGTTATGACCACAAAAAGTCTTCTCTTGTGCACTCAATAGCTTTTGGAAAGAAAGTAAATATACCCCTGGGGTCCACAGTGGGATCTAGCAGATGCAGTCGACTGGCAAGAAGACTGGTGATGCCCTCAGGTATTTATAATGATGTAAAGAAAAGCACGCATTTTTAGGTGATTTGAGTTAGAAAAACTTTTTATTTATCTGATAGAAAGTTACTCGCTTTGGTAATGAACTATAAATGCACCAGTCAATGAAACTGCTTAATAAAGTAAGTAGTAGTAGTAGTAGTAGTAGTAGTAGTAGTAGTAGTAGTAGTAGTAGTAGTAGTAGTAGCAAAAGACAACAAAATAATCCTACAAAGAACATTGTGGCAAATAAGTTCTAGTCACTCCCTGTACTTACAGAGTTGTCTTTAAAGACAGCTGAACAAACAAATTTTCATTTTTTTTTCACTATGTGTCTTCTGACTGTTTTTACTTTTACTGAATGAAAAATATCTCAATATACTTCTAGGCTGTCTCAGGCAGTGATCAGCAACATAGAGTTTTGATGCCCTCTAGTGTATTTATAAAATATTATTTTGAAGAAAGTATTTTCTTCTAAATAGGGTTTGAAATTGTACATATATTGTCTAGTTTTGTAAGCAGATTCCTTTTTATGCTTTCCAAGCTGATAAAATTTTAAATAATAATAACACAATTTTTAGAGTTCTAAAAACATTCAGATCTGGAAGACAGGATGATCCTGACACAAGAAAACAAGTCAATACCTCCTGTAACCCTGTGACTTTTACTGTCTGACAATCCTGAACAAAGCATGAAATCCCACACAATCTCACCTGCTTTTTATATGTTTTAAAGATACTAGAAACAATATTATGGATAAATTACTGAAAAAGCAGTAT